TACTCGTATTGTACTCGTATTTGTACTCGTATTGTACTCGTATTTGTACTCGTACTCGTGCATTGGAAAGAGTACACTTTAATCAAAAAGTATGACTAATTCCAGGTTCATGTTAAACGCGGTGACCACCTAAAAGGAGCTCGAATGTTGATTCGTGTGGCCAACAACATCAGCAAGTTTCCAGCTCGTAAGTCTCGTGATTGACGTATAATGCCAATATTCTTCTCTAATTGAGGTGTCACTGTTTTCTTCCCTTCAGACATCGTCCCAATATTGACCTCTACTGTTATCGAGTGTCACCGGTCTGGTTTAAGGAACTCTTCGTTCAGCTATGCAGCGATGCTGATGAGGCCTGAATACCGTCAAAAGATCGATCTTAAATACAAGAAAAAAATTGAGCAAATTGTCAGGTATTGCTTCTGTCGGAAATGAATGACGATCTTTGGTGACTTGTAGGAGCAGCTAAAATGAAGTAGTAGACTCCTTCGCCGGCGTCTCTCTACCTTTCTGCTCTCCTTTCTACCCTTGGGCTTCCTGTTTTCCTCGAAATAACAAAGAAGGACTGTTATCCCAAAAGGGAAAAATGATGTGTTCGCTGCGGAGGAGGGTAATGGTGGGTTGTCTGCGGAGGAGGGTTACTATGGGAAGAGCGATCACATGAAATTATTCTAAACGCTTGAAATTGTTACAAAACTAACAAAAATAAAATCTAATAATGAACCAGCACTATAACCTGACTTTTTTTCACTGCCCAGAAAACCCGATAAGACAGAGGAAGAGGAGGCACAGGACCCGTGTCCGTATTGTAACTATGAAGTACAGCAAACCAAACTAGACTGTCCAGAGTGCAAGAATACCATTCCATACTGTATCATTACGGTAAGATAGCATTGGTTTTCTTCTGTAATTGTTTTAACGGGTGCATCTTTAACAAATTTCGCACGGTTTTGAGTTGTATGTCTTCTTATTGACACACTCTTGACGTCATAAAATGTTTAAAAATCAAGTGGACTCAAGAGCGCTGCGCGTGTTTACATAACGCTTTAGGACGGTTTTCTTCAGTTTGTGAGTCAAAAGGAAAAACATCTGTGTCGCTGTTCACGTGAAGAGCAAAAAAAGGACCTGAAACATTTTCGAGCAAAGGAATGAAACTGTTCGATTAGAAACAATGGACAGATTTTACGCATGCTCTTATCATATATATCATATCACACATTGCTTAGTGCTACAATATAAAGTCGTACTTCTTTCTTAGGGACGTCACATGGTGAAAAGTGATTGGAGTGCATGTCCAAACTGTTCTTTCCCTGCTTTATATTCAGAGCTCAAAAGGTAAAAAATTCTACTAATTATAGACGTAATTCAGTGTTTTAAAATCTCTTGAAATTGCTACTGAAAGCCAAAGACAACAATATTTTATGTTATCAAAGTCGAATCTCCCGTAAGCGGGAACCATTGGGAAATGGAAAGTGTCCGTTGGTAGAGCTGTCCGGTTATGAAACTAGAGTGTTTTAAAAATAAGAAGAAAAAAAACGTTTTTTTTTTCGCTTACAAAGAGCATCATCAGCAAATGGAGATTCAACTGTAAATTATTGTTTTTCGATCATTTTTTCCCTCTTAGCTCATGTTTGTAAAAAACCAGTATTATAGTGCTACTTGCTTGGAAATGGCCTTATTTCAAAACTTCAAGCAATACAAATATATGACTCATTTATATCTATTAAAAACTATTGCGGGAAAATATTTGTTTTGGAATTATCCCACATCAGAGAAATTTTGATTCAAAAGATGGAAGAGCAAAAGAATGGAGTAAATGATGACATCTACTCCAACATTTTTTGCCCAAATTGTTAGGGATTTGTATCAATGTCTTCTTGAAATCTGTTGCTTCAAGTCTTTTCTAATGTTTCGCAATTTTCGTCCAAGTAGCCCTTTATATCTGAAACTCTCCTAACATCATTTCTAATTGTACTTTCAGCGTACTGGAGCCTGGTGAAGCAGTGTGTCCCATGTGTTCAACCACGATAGTTGCATCAGATGTTAAGCATATTAAAGATCCATCGGCTTACCTTAAAACTATAGATTCTGCGGAATAAATTCTCCTACGTTAAACAATAGCTTTCACATCATAGAAACTGTTGACTTTTTCGTATTCATAGACACAAAACTGATTGTAGGTGATGAGGGAAGGAAAAAAACAAGTTATGTACATTCTGCTAAGATGTAATTTGCATATGTCATTTTTGTAGTCAGTTGTTTAGACTCTAAAGTACTGTTCCTATAGGGCTACCCACAGCTAAGCATTTGACTAGCAGATTTAGCGATATCTATAATGCCTGTAAATATGACCTTTTTGAAAGAAAAAAATACTAAAAATCATTTGTCTTACCTTCCGATGTGGTTTTAATCACAAATTGAGGCGTAATTTGCCGTTTTTCTTTGATATTTCCCCCTCTTTACTTATATCAGATATCGATAAATCTGCTATTCAAATGCTTAGCTTGGGTTGCCTGTGGGCTACCTTCACACTTTCGCTTCTTTCGGCTCCAGTTTCCATCTCCTTATTGTCCACAGGGAATCCAGTAAAAAGGAGCATCTATCAGTAATTGGCACCAGGTGGGGCTTCTTTCATTAGGCTTCTGAAACTTGTATGACACTACTTGATTTTCAATGCATTGTGGGATCAGAGTCCGTAAAAATCCGTCATGTCCGCGACATATCCTACAATGCATTGCGTATACGGTACGTGGCATAAAAGCCTCAGAGGTCTATTCTAGGTTTACCGGCAGTAATGGCCCTGTGCAAATTTGAAGGCTTCAATCGTTTTCGTTACTGGAATTCATTTTTCTTAGATTTCTTAGCATGCACTTCAGTACCAACCTTTGTATATATGTACCTTTGTTGAACTCAGTATGAAAAATCCGTGCATCGATGTATTTACCAAAAGCTAATAAATATAATTTATTCACGTCTATAATGTTTAATTGATCTAAGCTCATAACAAGAGCTTTCCATTAATTCCAAATTGTACTCAACCTATACTAATGGGACTGACTGTATAGTGAAAACCCTCTATATTGTAGTTCTTGTAGATAACGCCCTAGAGTAGGATAATGTTTTTGTAAGTTTTATTTATTCACATACATGTCGTATCTGAAACAACGCTATTTCAAAGTATAGTCTTGAAGTAAACTGTGACAGAGGTATAGAAAACGTTACTGTTGGAATTTAGCACTATGCGAGCTCATTCTGTGCCTACTCAAACAATATTGCTATTTTAGGGACATGTTTGGGTAAGCATTAAACGCTTCATTTTTTGTCGTCTTTTTAACGCGTCCCTGAACTTGCTGACTATTCGCATGCCGGGCAATGCCGGGCAGGAACAAACGCTGAGGCCCATATTGAGGCCCTCCAACGAGAGGGTTAAAATACAATACAAAGACACCATGAATTACAAAACTGCCAGTTTTCTTTATTGTAGATATATTTTACAACCATGTTCTCTGTATCTTAAMAAAAGCTGTTTACAAAAATATTATGTAGCGCAAATATTACATGCACTCATTCTGGTTGAAGATGCGTCCATTTGAAAACCAAAAATATGGATTTATTATGAAATATTTTACAATTTCTTTTGAAGAAGGACTGCTTTGTCGGTGTTTAAGGACAAGATGGCTTAGTAGACGAACAAATATAAAGAGAAGCGTTTAGATAAGTTTTAATATGTTTTTTTATTATCCAATTTTGTCTCGCTACTCTTCAAAATTCGCTCGCAAGGCAGTTTATGGACTCTTATGGAGGTGTATGTATCAAAACACGAGTCCGATCTTTTACATCAATTGCTACAAATATAATTGAGTCGTGTCTCAAAATAAGACAGCCTTATAGCTAATTTAATAGCACACACACACATACGAAATATGCAAGATGGGGCATCGCGCCTTTCCATCGATTACAAAAAACACAAACAATTACTAATGAATAATGGGGCATCGCGCCTTTCCATCGATTACAGAAAACACAAACAATTACTAATGAATGATGGGGCATCGCGCCTTTCCATCGATTACAAAACAACACAAACAATTACTAATGAATGATGGGGCATCGCGCCTTTCCATCGATTACA